TGGAGCCAACCTTTTTTTTTTTTTTTTTTTGGTATTGGGGATCAAACTTGGGACCTTGTACTTGTGAGGCAGGTGATGGTACTACTGAGCTAAATCCCCAGCCCTCGCCAACTCATCTTTAATTACAAAAGGAGTGCTAATTTAGTTTTTAAAACTCAAAAAAACAAGACAGTGCATAAAAGAAAAAGTAAAAATCCTCAGGCCAACATTTTTCAGTTGTTACCAGATTCCTGTATATTGTTTTCACATGCAAGCATATACACACACACAACATGCTTTATTTTTTTTCTCATTGAGTTTATTGATACATTTTACGTAATAAGGGAAAAGAAAAACATATGAAAAAATGGAAATAAAGTGTTTGTAAATGGGGAGGGTAGGAAGGAGTGAAGGGAGGGCAGGGACAAGGGGAAAAAATGAGAACCAAGACCTGTTATGTAGAAGTACAAGATCCTAATAATGAATGTAACTGTACTGTATACTTAAAATGTACCAATAAACTCAATGAGAAAAAAAATAATTATAATGAATAGAAAACCTGATTAGCTCTATATAGTAGGTTGAATGGTAGCCTTTTCTGAAAAGATATGTCCATCTAGAATCTGTGAATATGGTTTTATTTGGAACAGGACTTTCATAGGTATAATTAAATTAAGAATTTTGAGGTGATATACCAGGTTATCCAAGTGAACTTTAAGCCCAATAAGAAAGTCAGGGAAGAATTGAACCTGAACGTCTTTGGACGATGTGTAGTCATGGTAACACATTAACTTTGGACTTTCTAGTCTCCAAAACTATGAAGGAATAAAATTTCTTTTTTTTTCATCATTGAGTTTATTGGTACTTTTTAGGTATACAGTACAGTTACATTCATCATTGGGATCTTGTACCTCTGCATGACAGGTCTCGGTTCTCATTTTTTCCCCTTACCCCTGCTCTCCCTTACAACATGAATTATTACTTTATAACAAAGAATGTTGAAATGTTAAAATTTTTTCAAAAATGTTTCTCAAGTCTCTTGGGCTCTCTGTGCGTCGTGGCATCGCCCGTGAAATGAACTAAATAAATGAATCAGCAGGTGTGCATGGGTGTGTCCATAAACCCACCCACCAGTCCAGTGCCAGTGGGAAAGAACTGGGAAAGGGGAGCCAGGAGGGGGCCATGTGGCCTTGAGGAGCCAGGGTGACCCGGGGTAGGGGACAGGCAGACTGAGTGTGGGGTGAGGCAGCCTCGTGCCTGAGCAGAGCCACACGGAGAACCAACACTGGGCACCAGCTGTGGGGACAGGAGATCTGGGACATGATGCGTCCAGGGTGCCTTTGAGCCTCAGGTCAGGGGAAGCACTGGCAGCCAGAGGACAGTGTCCAGCGCAGACTGGAGCTCCACACAGGCATGTGGGGGGTCCAGAGCCCTGCCTGGCACAGGCGCTGTGCCCACTGGGAAGTGTGGCCGTCACACCGAATCCTCCCGGGCCCTCGCTCCTGTGGCCTCGCCCTGACCTCGTGGGGACAGGGTCTCCCAACAGCTGCCCACAGGACTGCCCATGTCCTGACGCTTCCTGAGGGCCTCCCTCCTTCCACACCCGCCCATTGTGAAACTCGACATGTACTCCACTTTTTAAACAAAATTTTCAAATGAAACTTTAACCTGGGCTCTCTGAGCCTCGGTGGGCTCTCCTGTGCTGCGGACAGTGTGATCACATCTCTTGCGGCTGCTGTGTGGGTGCAGTCATTCATCATTAATGCACACACAGTGCTGAGGGTGAGCTCTCGGGAATGCGACTACGCTGGCATTGTCAATCGAATGCACAGTCAGCTATTGATTTGCTTTAGAAATCATTTTCAATTTTCGCTGTTACAAACCTGCTGCAACGAAACCCTTTGGACTTTATCTTGCACAAATCGTTCGTCCTGGAATTCCTGGGTGAAGGGTGTGTGCGTTGTGTTCTTTATATATACTAGATACAAGACCTTTACCAGACATGGGATTTATACGTATTTCCTGGCTTTCCTCCCAACTTGTTTCATGCTGTGGGGACTGAACCTAGGGACTGCACACCTAAGCCACTGTCTGCCCCACCTCAGTTTCCCAGTGGTGTCCTCTGCGGCACATTCTGTTAGTTTTGATGAAGTCCAACCCATGTTTTTTCCTTTGGTCCCACAGACTCCAGATGACAGCAAATGGGGACAAATGAGAAAGCTACAACTGTATGGTTTACGCCGATAATAAATTTATTCACATGCTCCCTTTGGCAGTGCATGTACTAAACTTATTCAGACAGTTGTCTTTCAGTAAGAGTATAATTTTGTTGGAGAATAACACTCAGATACAAATTACATAAAATCATCATGTATTGCAGTTATTGGGTGAATCCAAGGGACACAGTAATGAGATACCACCCTTGAGGGAAACAGTTAATATTCACCCCGTGTACAGTGTGCTTTATGAATTTAAGCCTATTACTTATCATGTCTTCTGTCTTCTATCAGCTATCATCTGTCTTCTAACTCGAGCTGTCACGATCTATCTACCAAGTCCTGCAGGGAGCCTTCCGGACTGGCTTCCTGCGAAGGCAGCAGTGTGAGGAGGTCTCCGAGCTGAGTGAATCTGTCTGAGAAGATGGGGACTGGCCGGGGTGCTGAGGGCAGAGCTACCCATGCCTCCCTCCAGAGGCTGCGCGCGACTCACACGGGAATATCCCAAGGAACATAGGATCCAGGTACGTCTCTTGGAATCTAGAATAACAGAACAGATTTGGGAGGTGCTTGGGACCTGGTGGAAAAGAACAGAACATGGACCCTGGAGGGCGGGGTGGAAAGAGGCAGGAGCTGCAGCACCCGGGCATGGAGGGTCCAGGCGGGGACTGGGGCCTCCGTGCTGTCACCTCGCACTTGAAGGGCAGGACAGTGGAGGCAGGCTGCGCTCCTCGTGAGGAAGAGCCAATTTGTGGCAATGGAGGAAAACCGTGGAGGCAGAGGGGCTTCATGTCCTCCTCCACTAGAGCTGCACAGCCCGGGTGCCGAGCATGCGGGGACGGAGGGGCGCTGTCCAGGCTGTGGGGAGGGGCTGGCTGTGGCGTGGCCCACACTCAGTTCTGAGCTACTCCTGGTCCAGGGGAGGAGCAGAGCAGAGGGGACAGACAGAATGGCCAAAGAGCCTTCCCTTTTAGGCCATATGCAACGAGCCTGCCCAGGCCTAGCAGGCCGAGTGGACACAGAGACAGCTCATGGGGCAGGGGCTCAGGGCCGCCAGGGCAGGGACCAGTACCCGGGGACCTGTCCGGCCTCCTCCAGGGCAGACGCACCATCTCCGTGAACCTGTCCTCACAGGCCATCCGGATCTTCTCTGGGGTCAGTGGGCTGCTGAGCACCAAGGGCCCGGGCAGGTGTCTCTCTTTCCGCGAGGCACTCACTGCATCCTGGATGGCGAAGAACACGGAGCACCCCAGGAACACCCCAGACTCTCCCAGGCCCTGCGGGAAGCAGCCGAGGGGATCACGATACACTGTGCAGATGTGTGGAGCACATGTGTGTATAAAATCTGTACTGTACACTTGAGCGCTATACTAAAAAGTGGTAACTTCATCTTTGGCCCCAGGATTCCTGTCCTTAGAGGCCCAGCCTGAGTAAATGACCGGAAGAGAAAAAAGCAGAGGACATGAAGAGGACTGATCGGGTCAGATAGCCAGAGGCAGCTGGACAGCAACAGCAGCCTCGCTAGGCTCGAGAGCTGGGCTACTGCAAACGTTTTCTATCGCGCTGTTCAGCTGCTGTGGGTGGCTCCAAAAGGGCGTCTTCTCCTGAGATCTCAGGGAAACACTATGCTCAGGAGATGACTGCAGCCACACCCTGGGGTCGCCACCCCACCCACCCCTCCCCGGTCCTGGGCGTCGCTCACCTTGGATGAATACAGGGTGTTGGAGCTTTCGGATGGAGGCAGAAAGGAGACGTGCAGCTCGGCGGGGACGTCGCAGATGGCGGGGATCTTGTACTGGTCGGGGCCCCGTGTGTGCAGAGCGCCCCCAGGGGAGTACCTCAGCTCCTCCGTGGTGTACAGCCCCACGCCCTGGAGGAAGGCGCCTTCGACCTGGCACCAACAACCTCACGTTGAGAAAGCGCTTTCACATCAGTCGGGCAAGGGGTTGACAGGTGCAGGAGCAGGAGGCCGACCCGACATCTCCAGACGCCGGGTCAGCGACAAGTGCTCTGGGGCAGTGCAGGTTCCTGCCCAGTGGTGACAGCACGGCCCAGGAGAGTCCTGCTGTGTAGGAGCCCCTGACCGGGTGCTCAGGTGCAGCTCCCTGGGGAGGCCGGAGCAGGAGGCTGGTCCTCAGCCCACACCTCGCTCACACACCGGCCGCCCTCACGCCTGTACTGCTTCCTCCCTGACAGCTTCCGAGCACCGAGCTTGGCCCTGTGCTCTCCTGCAGCCTCCTGACTTCCAGATCTCGCCTTTGCCCCCTTCCTTCCCGGCACCAAAGCTCATCTCCTGCCTGCAGGCGGTGGCCACTCAGGATGTTACATGGATCTGACTAAAGCCACTCCAGCTCCTGTGGTCTCCCCACTGCTGGGCTCTTCTGGCCAGGCCCTCAGCCCCTATGGTCCCACTACAGCCTGGTCCTCAGCCCCAGCTTTGGGCCAGCTGTGGACACGGGGTGCTGTCTCTGGGCTGAGTCCCTCCTTCATCTGGGGCTCCCAGCTTCCTCCCCAAACCTCCCTGGACTTCCGCTCTCCCATGTTCTGCTTTCCCGTGACACATTGTGGGGACCCGTGAGATGCTGCAGGATGCTCTCAACAGGAGGTGCAGTGGATGTGTGGCCATTCCTGGTGACCCCTGTCGTCAGTGAGTGTTTGACTCCAGTGTCCAGCGCTGTACGGCCATGCAGGCATATTTTGTCTTCAGAGAAGCTAGACACTTGTGACTTTTCAGTCTGGTCAGTTAGTTCAAACTGGTTAGAAGTTGGCCCGGATGCTGCCTATCAGGGACTAGCGCTGTAATTACTGGGGTTATGCCCGCCTGGCTCACTTCCTGACAAGAGAGCCCACAGTGGCCCAGAACTCCAGGCACTGTCTGCTCAGCCCTTGGGGCTTGGAGCCCCTGGCCGCCTCCAGTGTCATCTCTCCTCACACAGCCTCCCCCATCAGAGCATATTTCTTCACAAACCCCCAAACCCCTCACCTACCACGAGCCAGCAGAGAGCGCTGAGGAGCGGGCTGGGTGTGTGTGTGTGTGTGTGTGTGTGTGTGTGTGTGTGTGTGGTGTCCCCGCTGGCTGCCTCAGACAGGAAGTGCGGTGGGTGCTGCGTACCTGGCCGCGGTCGAGTGCTGGGTTGATAGTGTGGCCAACGTCCATGACGATGTCTGTCCGGATGTTCTAGTGAGAAAGAGAAGCCCCAGTTTGTTGCAGTGTAGGTAACTCAGTGTGGAGAAGCTGAGGAACACTTCCTGTCCGCTGGCCGTGGGATAGAGATTTCTGGGGGCCATGTTATTGCAGAAGGAACAAGCAACAAGGATTTTACCATGTAAAACGGTCAACATTACAAATATTCTTAATCTGTCTAAGCAGTTGTTTTCTTCTTGGCAACACAAAGTGAATGAAATATTTACTGGACTTTGATTCAAGCTGGGTGGTGGAACAGACTGCACCCGGCCATGACAACGTCACGGATGACACAGGAAAGGAAACCCTGTGGCTCAGTCATCCAGCTGCTGCGGGCCTCACAGCTTCACATCCGCGCAGGGCAAGTCCTGAGACACAGCGGGGTGGTGAAGACGGCCTGCACACCAGTACCTGCTGCTCTGCACTCCTGGTCTCTCGGAGAGGAGAAACAGCGAATCTCACAGCTCTGACAACAAAAACAGCAGGTGCCGGCCCAGCCCGGCTGGTGATACCACTGCACCCTGGAATTCTGTGCCTACTCTGCTGAGGCTCAGACGTCACAGAGCCCAGGGAACCCAGGTGCCCTGTCGTCTGACCCTCCCGAGGAAAATCTGTCAGTGCTCAGAATGCTTGGCTGTGGTGAAACCCGGGGCTTTCCTCCCATCACAGAGACGGTGGGTGTAAAATTCTCCAAGCCACATGGCCACTGGACAGCAGATGTGACCAGCATCACTCTGGGCTCAGGTGGCCTCTGCCCCCGGCAGCCTGTAGGCTGGGTCATTGGAGGAGTAGAGGGAAGCTGGGGCTGCCAGTGAGGGCCATGGGGCGTGGCTGAGCAGGTTCTGTGGCCCCAGAAGCCATGAGGTGACTGCAGCTGCACAAGCAATCCTGAGCCAGGGTCACTGGACAAGCCACCCCCAAGGTCTGAGTCCAGCAGGGGCTGCAGTGTTGAATATTTATCACTCTCAGCTGCTGCGTCACACAGCAATAGCCACCTAGTGTGCAGATGTGGGTTCCCAGGGAGGGATTGTAGAAGAGGGAGATTCTGTCATGTGAGGGGGGAACGGGTGGTGAGCAGGTGAGGGGGGCCTGGGCGAGGGTGGCAGGGGGTGGACTTCTGTGCAGGACGATAGCTCCCCGGGCTGCAGATCTGACTGGTGCTTAGCCTACATGGCAACTTCTTAGACTGCACCATACATTACAAGAACACACCTCAGAGGTTCACAGCCAGCTTCGTTACTAACTTGGGTCTTAACATGGCCCAGACATGCACAAGCTGTACAAAGATTCCAGTGGTTCTGTTTTACCTGGCTTTTCTTTGGGTAAAGGGATTCTGGCAGCAGTTGGTGTGAGAACTCGAGCGGAGTGGGACAGCGCTGTCGTGAGAGCCCTGCTTGTCCCGGCCACAGTTCCCTAAGAGGTCCAGCCCGGTCCAGCCCCGCGGCCAGAAGAGGGGAGTGTGGCCCCAACATGAGGCTGCCTGGTTTAGGAAGCACAAGGGGGGACCCCTGAAAAGAAAACTGCCATCTAAGCCCACCAGGACCTGAGACAGGAGACACGGGACTCCCTGGGGCCTTGAGAACTGGGGCTTGCCCCTGGCTTGGGCTTTGGATGGCTCAGCACCAGACTTGCAGCCGACATTTGCAAGGGTGGGCGAGCATGTGCGGATGGCCCGTACCGTCACTGCAGTGTCCAGAAAGCTCCCGCAGCCTGGGTTCCAGAAGAGAAACTGAGTCCTCAAACCCAGTACGTGTGCACGCATGTGTGTGCCTGTGAGTGTGAGCTGATATGTGCCTCTCCTCCGTAAGGACGCTCTTGAACTGGCTAAGAAGTGGGCCTGGCTGGGCACCGAGACTGTGGGCCGGCCGGCCAGTAGGTTACAGCGCCCAGGGTACCTTCTCAAGCACCAGGGCCTTTTCTGTCCTCTGGCACCACGCAGGACGGGCCTCCCAAGAGGGTGTGGCAGCCCCAGGCGTGCCACGCGCGCCCCAAAGACCTCTCCCACTGGCACTGACCTTGTGGCTCCCCGTCAGGCAGTCGATCTCCACCTCTGAGCAGGCCGCGCCGTACACGCAGTACTCGAAGGGGTGGCCTTTGCCCTTCTCCCAGTCCATGTCGGACTCGTAACCCCTGGGGGAGTGGGGTGGAGCGCACGGCTGAGACGGAGCCTGCGACGAAGCCGGTCCCACTCCCTCGCCGCTCGCTCTGCCCGACAGAAACACCGGGCTCCTGGGCGCCGCGGACCAGGCTCTGACGTAGGTGTGGGATCCTGCGCTTTCCCACAGCACGCAACGGGAAGGCCCATTTACCTGAAGTACCCAGCCGCCGAGAGGCTGATGCTTCTGTCGAAGGCAGCCTGTGCCTGTGAAGGAAGAGGCTGGGTCGGAGAGCGGACCCCTAGGGACTCCCCTTCCACGGGTGTAGTGAGCCACGGGCACAGCGATGAGGAGGGACCAGAGCCCGTCCCTCCTTCACCGTCCTCCCTCGGGAGCCGCGGGCTCACTGTCCTAACGATGGACTTAGTCCAGGGGGCGTGGCCGGTGGGTGACGCAGACAGAGGCACAGCGTGGGCACCTCGAGCTCCACTGATGAGGCAGCCACCTGTGGCCCGGAGAGAAGGAGCCTGTGCCTCAGGACACTGACCCACGCCCTTTTTCCACAGCAGAGTAACTTTATTAAACTGTACATGGACACTGAAAGTTCAGCTGACCCCTCTCCAGAAAAGCAAGGCATCCCACGAGGGTGGCTGTGGGCGCTTTTGCCCCTCTCTGCAGCCGGGCAGCCCAGAGCAAGACAAACACACCCAGGAAGGATGGGAGCTTCCTCACACGGGGTCAGGCAGTGGCCCTCAGCCTCAGAGAAGCAGGAACCTCACATGGTGGATGCGGATGGACTGAGGCCAGGCCAAGGAATGGGCTCCACGCAGAGCTGCGCCCCAGCCTGGCATCTCTTTTCAGCGGAGCCCTCCAGATGTGGCCCCCCCAAACCGTGTCTTCGGGCGCAATGCTGCCCTAGAACAGCTGCACAGTGCTGCCCATGCCGCCTGCGGCCATCCAGCCATGACTGAGTGATTCACAGGGACCTTAGAATGTGTGTCTTCTCTTCCCACTGGGCTTTAAGTGCTTTGAAGGAAGCAGCTGGGTATTTACAGCCCACTGACTGAGTGCCTAGTACTGTGGCGTGGTTTCCTGTTCTAAGCGAGTGCCTGGGTGACTTTTACTTTTATAGAATGATTCCCATATTGTTTTCAATTTTAGGAATAGAAGAACCTAAACAAGAGTCAAAAATAGATTTACAGCTCTTATCTAGAAAGAACCCAGGTTCCAAAGGATAGAATTTTAATTGACTCAGGCTTAAAACAGATTCTAGCAGGGAAACCATCTTTCTCTCTAATAGAGAAACTTCCCAAAGTAAGTGTCCCGGACCCGTCACGGTAGGACCGGTCACGGTGCCTGGGCCTTCGAGCTGTCCCTTCTGCAGCCCTGACTCACACCTCCCTCTCTCCCCTCCCGCCCTTTCCTTTCTAGCGCAAAGCACAGAGAACCAGTGAAACTCACCCAGTCCTTCCAGGTCCCCTGAGGATTCTTGCTGATGATGGGTTCCAGGCGTTTTAGAAGAGTCTGACAGGCGTCCTAGGAATGGTACGTGTGAACTAAATTATGACTGTGACTTCATGCAAAGAATACAATGTGTCCTCCCATGGGTTGTTTACAAGGTCCTCGGGAACACGAAAGACCAGCCCTGAGTGTGGACACCTGCCTGGGGGGGCTCGGTGTAAGTCTTAGGGACAGCGGCCTGTAAGCCAGGTGAAGACGCTGGGTCTAGCAGGAAGCCTGTCACGGACTTGCTCTGCCATGTGGCAGTGCAGCCGGTGGGGTACGAAGAGGGAGCCCGCCATACTGGCGGGAGGAGCCAGAGGCACAGAGGCTGGGG